GTCTTTCTTCCATTCCTTTTGCTTCTGTAGATAAACTATGGTTGGTAAAGTCGAGCAAGCTGACTGATTCTCGGTCTTTGTAGCGGTTGTGGATGATGTTGACAGATTTAAAGCGTTGCAAACAATGTTTACAAGCGCTTTCTTCCCGAGATTTTTCTCAAAATCTACAGAGAGGGCTCTACAAACTTCCTTAAGTTTTGGTTTTGTGAGTTTAGAAGCATCTTTATAACAATTTGGTAGCTCTGAATCCGTTTGTTTAGTTGGCGCCGCCATTTTGCTTGTAACTCGGGCTCCAAAGTTACCTCCCAAATCGCAAGGTATTTTGGGTAATGTGAAAAAGGTGAAGACTTAACTATGCGAGTCAAATATTTTACAATGTTACAAAATACGCTTATTTTTCAATTTTCGAGACGTTGCGACAGTCCTTACAGACTGGGGAAATAATTATGGCTCTTAATGCAGTCAGAAAATTATTTCAAATAAAACCAAATCTAATTTAGTTCTTTCCTAAGTAAAGTCTTTCGTTGACAGAGTTTCAGGCAAAATTATTTTTGACGCAAAATTGACCGGGTCGAAATAAGAGAGACAGTCTCTTAAGTAAGTTACAACTCTTCAGCACACAAACTTCTGTTTGCCCTTGGGCAACATTGAAACATTCCTTTTCAACCACTTTGCTGGTCAAAGTTTTGGAAAGAAGATCGTCAGAAAGACGATCTACCTTCCAGCAGATATTGGTTTAATGTTTTGTTTTACAATACGTTGATTGCGATTGGCTCTGATGAAATGATCGGAAAGGAATGTTCTTTTGTCTTCTTTTGAATTGGGTTATAAGAGATATCGAATGTAAGAGTGCCTTAGAAACCCAAGCAAAACTGGACGTGAATTGGCTGCCCGGATCTAGAAACCGTAATTAGGGTAATATCTTTATCCCGCTCTCGGTAAGAAAAGTCGTTTTCTGAGTCCCTGTCATATTCGTCTGCATATGTTTGCATCTCAGCAACTGCCACTTCAACGATACAGTCCTCAACAAATTTGACATGTGTCACATTCCCAGACGCTAAAATGCCGTTTGTGAATCAATTCGATAAAAGCTTACAACAGCTTGGCATAGGGTAAAATATGGACTGGACTGGACTATTTTTTGGAGGATTTATTGGACGATTTTTTGGACGATTTTTTGGCCGATTTTTTTGGACGATTTTTTGGATGATTTTCTGGATTATTTTATAAGGGGGAGAGGCACACCTTTAGTACTCAGGAAGGTGTGGGTGCAGTCGAAAAGTACTGAGGGAGGGGTGGGGTAAGAGTCTTCTTACTTAGGGAGGGGTGGTAAGTGGTTGTAATTGTAAACACTACTGGTTAATGGAGCTTTTACTCGATCGTAATAATTATTTTAATCGGTTTTTTGACTGAATTCTCCTACATCAGCATTTTGCGCTGGGCCGTGGCGCTTCTTTAGTGTTTTAGCCATGCGAAAGCGAACTGCCTCGTAAATACTGGACTTTAATTCTTATTAAAAATATCGCGTTTACGATCCTCCACTGTTGAGTTACCAGTCTGGCATAAGTTATGCGTGTGCCTTTTGAGTCGACTTGTGCATCATCAGTTTTCCTATCTTTCTTTTGTCATTGATATTATCAGACGAGCTCGAGATCACAGAATTTCCGCTCCTTGGCCATTGACTTTAGCCGAAAATATAAAACGCACGAGCGCTATCGCAATTTTAACGTTCGTACGTTTACAATATGAAATCATTTTTGGTACAGTCGTACAAAGCAATATTCTCTCAGGTGTCTCATTAACACAGATCTCGAAAACGCAGACCGCAGACCGCACACCTCGAAAACGCACACCTCGAAAAACGTGTTATCTCTCTTCCTTTTGTCATTGATGTTATCAGACGAGATCTCGGAATTTCCGTTATGCGAAAGCGAAACTGCCACGTATATTTAAAATACTGCGTTTACGATCCTCCACTGTTGAATTATCCGTGTGCCTTTTGATTCGACTTGTGTGTGCACTATCAGTTGCTTCACGTTTTCCTTTATGTATACAGTATGTTATTACTGAATTTATCTATCTTTCTTTTAATTGTCAGTGATCTTATGAGACGAGATCACAGAATTTCGCACTACACCGAAATAGCTAGTTAAACAATAGAGTGTTTCTGTCGAGGAACTATCGGCTGATAGTTTCCCCGCAGAAATTTGATGTTCGTAAACTCGATATTTTCAATAAGAATTAAAGCCCAGTGTTTACGTGGCAGTTTCGCTTTCGCATTGCTACATCATTAAAGAAACGCCGGGGCCCAGCACAAAATGTTGATGTAGGAGAAGTCAGTCGAAAAATTGATTAAATTAATTATTACGATCGAGTAAAAGCTCCATTAACCGGTAGTGTTTACAATTACAATCACCTACCACCCCTCTCTGAGTAAAAACACTCTTCCCCCACCTTTCCCTCATTACTTGTCGACTACACCCACCCCTCCCTGAGTACTAAAGGTGTGCCTTCCCCCTTACAAAATCGTCCAGAAAATCGTCCAAAAAATAGTCCAAAAAATCGTCCAAAAAAATCGTCCAAAAAATAGACCAGTCCAGTCCATATCTTACCCTATGCCCAACAGCTTTTAAAATATCAGCTTCGACGGCCATCGCAGAGTTGACAATCGAGATGGGTATAAAGAGCGTATAACCCATATGTGACATAGACTTTAATGTAGATGGTCCATGCGGTAATCATGACAGAAATATGACACTCTGGCGTACTCCTACTAATATATATTAAAAAACGTACTTTTATTGGACAAGATAAATCAACTATCCTTATTCTATGAGAGTTTTTAGGATATTTAGGGCGATCCAGTACTTTGCCAGCTGTCAGTAAAAAAAAAAAGCCCACCATAAATGTCATTTAGATTTTCAGTGATTAGTCAGTTGTCAATTAAGATTTTAGCCATTTGTCAGTTGTCAGTTAATCCCATCCAGACCTTCGGGTTATTCTGGACTATCAATTTTAAAACCGCACCGACCGAAAAAAACTTCAAGCGCTGGTAAAAAGAAATTGATGACAGCATTAGTGGGATGGTCAAGAAATGAGAAGGGCACAAATCAGGCATTCAACTCATAGCTTTCAAAGTTTATTTTTAATGTAACATCATTCACAATGTTTAAAAATCACATTATGGATGTTTTTACTTTAGCACGATGGCTTAGTTATCTTCACTGAGCCCTTGATGTGAGCTTTGAAGTCGCGCCACTGAAATACGTTTCCCACCCCTGTCAGACACGACTTAGACATGCGAGCGATATCTTGGTCTTTTATCACGTGATCCCAGATGTTGACACCTGTCATTTCACCGATAAAACTTTGACTGACTTCGAAGGATCCTCCTACTGAGTCTTGCTCCTGTCCTAGTACCAGGGCTCCTCCTGCACGAATCACGTGACCTGTGGGAAGATTACCAGGAAATTAAGGAAAAACATAAAATCACCACTTACAAAAGATTCAATTAAATCTTTTGCTTCGAAAGAGCAAATACCCCAAGAAAATATTAAAAAGACTGGAAAGTGAGTACATTCTTCCTTTTTTAGTTTTCTTAATCAATAATCTACCGAATAAGTCACAGTCATGTCACTATTTTTGTTCCAATTCAATGACATGCAAATGAGTGGCCG